CGGGCCCGCGGCCGCCGCTCTCCGCCGTCCTCGCCGCGCCTTTACGCACGCTTCGCCCTCCCTCGGCGCCGTCCCGGGACCCCGGCGGGCAGGGTGGGGCAGGGCCTTTCTCGCACGCCCCCCGGCCTGCCTCCCTCCGCCCCCCCAAACTCTCGGGCGTTTGCGCCACAGGCTCTCCCCGCAATAACTGGCCCTGGTTCTTCCCGCAGGGCGCCGGCTCCGCGGGGCGGTTGCCCCCCAAGCGCGCAGCCTGGGCGAGAAAGGGGCAGGGTGAAGCGAGTCCCGGCCCCCAGCCCGTGGGCACCACCTGCCTCCGTCCCTCCCTCTCTCCCCCCCTCGCTGGTTTTGCCTTTCCCCGTTGGCCCTTGATGCCAAATTCCCCGGCCTGGCGACTACAAAGCCCATCCTCCCCACCCGGCAGGGCCCTTGGCCCTTCTTTCCAAGATGGATTAGGTGGCAGTGCCTGTCATCCCCAGCCAGCATTGTGTAGATCCGTTATGGAAAAGATGCAGTGCCGGGGCCACACCGGGTCCCCTTCTGCGGGCCCCGGGGGCCTTCCCCAAAACGCAGGGCACCCAGTTGTACATGCCAGGGTTATCTGCTGCCATTTGAGGGAGGGGCGATTGGTTGGGGCCAGATGGGTGTGGGGAGACACTGACCCCTTAAGCCCCCCTTCCCTAAATGGACCTGGGCATGCTGCCATGGGGCCCGATAGGAATTGCGCCCCCTGCGGTACACCTTGGGAATTGCAGGGCGACCCACTTAGGTCTACTTACTGCCTGGACTTGCACAACCTGCTTCCCAGGCTGCTCTCCCCATAGGCTAAAGTTCTTGTTTTAGTTTAACCAGGGTTAGTACTTCTGTGCATTGTGTTGGGCGGACGTGTCACTCCCCCTGTTGTGCCATCCAAGAAGATGGCTCAGTTCAATAACCAAGGCAAGGCGGTTGTAACAATGCAGCCATTCATTTAAACCAGTGTTTCTCAACCTTGGCCGCTTTAAGATGTGGGGACTTCAACTCCCAGAATCCCCCAGCCAGCCAGTCCCCACATCTTAAAGCGGCCAAGGTTGAGAAACACTGGTTTAAATGAATGGCTGCATTGTTACAACCGCCTTGCCGAGTTGAAGTCCCCACATCTTAAAGCGGCCAAGGTTGAGAAACACTGGTTTAAATGAATGGCTGCATTGTTACAACCGCCTTGCCGAGTTGAAGTCCCCACATCTTAAAGCGGCCAAGGTTGAGAAACACTGGTTTAAACCTTCTTTCTTCCCTCTCCGTTTTCCCCTTTCATCACTTTCCTCTCTTGCGGTTCTTCTCTTGGTTTGTCTTATTAATTTCTTTTTCCTTTCCGCAGACGCTTCCCATGGATACCAGCCCCCCGATCCCAGACCCTGGCGGTCCCCGAAGGGATTTTGCCACCTCGGCCTCTGAGCTGGGCCCACCCTCCTTCGAATGGCTGCTGGGGCGGCTGGGGGCGAGGGGGCAACGTCGGCAGCGCCTCCTGCTGGCCCTCAGCTGCCTGCCTTGCCTCCTCCTGGGCCTCGCCTTGGGCTCGGATGCCCTCTTCACTCTCAGCCCTTCACATCACTGTGGGGACCCCAATGGCACTGGGCTGCCCGAGAACGCCACCTGTCATAGCCCCCACTGCCAAAGTGGGGAGTCTGGAGGACTCCCAGCCCTTACCAGCAACCCAGTGACCGAGGTGAGTGTCCCCACCATCTCACTTTCCTGCCATCATGATACAGGTAGTTCTCGCTTAATGACCACAATAGGGACCGGAAAATTTGTTGTTAAGCGGGGCAGTTGTTAAGCAAGTCACACCCGCTTTTACAACCTTTTTTGCAGTGGTCATTAAGCGAATCACTGCGGTCGTTAAGCGAATCACTGCGGTCGTTAAGCAAATTATGCGGTTCCCTGTTGATTTTGCTTATCGGAAGCCAGCTGGAAAGGTCGCAAATGGCAATCACATGACCCTGGGATGCTGCAACCATCATAAGTGCGAGCTGGTTGCCAAGCGCCCAGATCATGATCACATGACCACAGAGGTGCTGCGACAGTTGTAAGTGTGAGGACCGGTTGTAAGTCCCTTTGTTCAGCACCGTTGTAACTTAGAATGGTCACTAAACGAATTGTCGTTAAGTGAGGACTACCTGTACTCAGAAACACAAAAGTATAAAGGAGGAGTTGCACCAGTTGCTGAGGTTCTCAGTTCAGATCCTCACTGGCAAAAATGGTTTTGTCTTCTTTCTGCAGTAGTCTGTTGGGCCAAAGACTATTGGGGGGTTCCTGAGCATATTTTAAAAAGCAAAAACAACATGCTTGCACTCTCGTCGTCTTGCTCCGTCCACATCTGTGTTATTTCATCAGCCCTTAGACCATTCCCAACTAGATTTTGACTACATGGGCCTCCTAAGTATGTTGATACGGAGCAGTGTTTCTCAACCTTGGCCACTTTCAGATGAGTGGACTTCAACTCCCAGAATTCCCCATGGCTGGCTGCTCTAGATGAAAACTAAATTCTCCTCCAGGAAGTCTTGCTGCAAAAAAAAAAGCAAGGTTGCGGGGAAGACACCCTAAAGTCTGTATACTGAGAAAAAAAGTGGCTAGCAAGAATGCAGTCCACAAGAGCAAGGAATGGTTAAGGTTAAACAAGATGAGGAAATTCAGAGTGATTTGTTGGAAATAAAAAGTGGTTTTCAATGTGGGTAGAGGGCTAAACAAAGAACATCTAGCAAAGTGAATAAAAATAAAAGCAGTAAAATTATTTGGAATGAAGCTGAACAGTGGGAAGGCCCAAAGTATTTTGGAGAATTGTACGGGAAGCCCAGCGATATATGGAAAAGAGAAATTGAAATGTACTGTATGCATAAACGTTGTGGGCTATATTATTTTGTTTTAATCAGTTGTAGCTGTCTTTTTTGCATTTTTGTACCCTGCCCAGAGTCCCATAGATGGGTGGCCACGTAAATGGCTACGTACCTAAAATGGCCTGTCCGAGGAAAAACAAATGCAAAGAATGTCATAAATGCTGTGAGATGGTTAAAAAACGGTGGGACGGTGACTTTAGAGGGTGCAACTGGAAAAATGTTGAAATACAGATATGGTTTGTTTGTGGACTTGAAAGTGTGTCAAGGCTGCATCTGGGCCTGACAATGGAAAGAATGCGGTCGTTGTTTTGCTGCCCAAAAGGAAGGTGATTGAAAACGCTGCAGCAATTTGTTTGCTAGGAAGTTTGCGAGGGACTTTTCAGAATTCCGTTCGTGAGGGACGAGACGTGACGATGAAGACAATTCAGGAAAGGTATTGTAGGGTGGCTTTCGGCCCGTCAGGAAGCGAGTAGAGCACAGGTCGCGGAGAAATGGAGGAAGAGGAGAAAGTTTAGATCCTGAGGTGCATGGGCTCAAATTACGGACTGTTCTGGATAAGCAGAGAACTGAAGCTGGATTGCTGAACGTGGTAAAAGGGCTGGGTGATGCAAGTAAAGGATACATGAGAATACAGTGGTACCTCGAGTTACGAACGCCCCTCCTTACGAATTTTTCGAGATACGACCAGCCCCGGCCCCAAATATTTCCCTCGACTTGCGAACTCCGCCTCGAGTTACGAACGCCCCTCCTTACGAATTTTTCGAGATACGACCAGCCCCGGCCCCAAATATTTCCCTCGACTTGCGAACTCCGCCTCGAGTTACGAACGCCCCTC